CTCAGGCATTCAACAAAAACAACTTAATCCTCGAGGAGAGAAACAAATACTTCAACCCCCACCTCACCGGGAAGACCTACTCCAATGCCTACTTTACAGACCTGAACAATTACGACGAGTACTAAATGCTCCTCTGCTGCCGGCCCCTGACCCCCAACTCCCCACGGCCACCCGGGTGCCTGCGGGCATGATGGGGGGAGAATCCCGAGCCATGAGCGCCCCCCCGCATCCAAGCATGCCCATCTCTTCCCAGGCACAGAACTTCCAGGGAACATCGCGAAACAGGGCCCCATGGGGTCCCGGGTGTGAGTGGCCATGCCCTGTGAGCCTCTCTGGGCAGCTGGGTCCCTAGCACCCCATTTGTCTTGGGTCCTTTCCATCGGGGCACCACCCACCTCAGAGGCGGTCCCGAGGGACAGGGGCTTCTCTTTGTTCATGGTGTTTGGACCCCCTGTCCCACAAGAAGGCCGCAGGAGGGCCAGCGCAGCTGAGTCAAGGACAGAGCTACCCCAGCTGGGCCCCGAGGCCCCGCCTCAGTGACGCTGTGGCATTCCGGAAGTACGGAGCGGGTTTGGACTTGGGAAGGCACAGGTCCCCGCCTGACTGACACCTGCAGGGGTGGCCTTGCCTCATGAGACCCCTAGCTGTCCCCTTGGCGGGAGCTGGCACACAGCACAAACACTTCCAGTGGCGTCTCCAGGCCTCACCCCGGGTCTCCCCTCCAGAGCGGGGGCCTGGCCACCCACTCTCCAGAAGAGCCCGTCTCTGAACCTGCCCGTCTGGAATTTGAGTCGACCACACACCCCCACGTACCCCACCCCATGAGAAACCTAGAAGGCTGATGACACCAGGCAGTCAGGGGCGATGGCTTGGGTGGAGGGAGGTCACGCAGCACCGTCGCCTGCCTGTAGAACTGAGCTGTGATGGAGAGCCACGCGGCGGGGGCGGCCCTCGTTGGGATCCTGGGGGGCGCTGGTCCCAGTGGTCGGGTCGGAAGCCATGGGCAGCCTCCTGTGGACATCAACCCAGAGGTCCTTCTGCCACCCGACTCATCTCCTCCCTCTGGCGAGCGTGTGGTGTGGAGCCCCTCGCAGCAGGAACCCGCGCCTCTGAGAATCGCTCCTGATGAAGCCAGCCTTCAGGGTTTCAGAAGTCGCACCTCGCGCCTGGTCGACCACACCTGACAAG